CAGATGCAAAAATTCCCCACCACTTTGGTGGTCGAAGGTTGGAAATTACCACAGTCTGAGAGATTGTCACCCTGTTCAGGGGAAAAGTCAGCATTGTTACCCTAGGTCAGGGGTCGGCAACTCAAAATGTTGAAAGAACCAAATAGGCCAAATAAATAAATATGACTGGACCCGCAAAAAAATAAAAGCCTTCTATAAAACTTTGAATGAAGGAAACACATGCTCTATGTATGTAGAAGACTGGACTGTCTCAGAATTGTTTATGTTATTCATTCCTTTGTTGCGTGTTCACAAACGCCCCCATAGAATTTATGTTGTGATTTCCTCGCTTGATTTTCTGTTTTGGTGCATCATTTTCCCTTTTCTTACAGCACAGATGAAATTTCTTCCCTCTCAACATAAAACAAGAGGAGCCGCTGCGGGTGTCCGCGCCGCTATCAAAAGAAAAGTTCACAAAAAAATGACAAAATAATACAAAACAACACATGAGACACAGACAATCGTGCACTCTTAACCACTTTCCTGCATACACGTTGTTGTCTGAAGCAGTTATAGATGAAAGAGTATATGAAAACAGAATCACTGCAGCTCTCAGAGTCACATCACACATTGACCTCCTTGTGCTTGCATAACATTACAACAAAACATAAGATCAGTGAGTATGAGATGAAGTTGAAATGAGCCCATGAGACAAGAATGTCACCTGCACAGCAGCAGCAACGTCTTGTCACAGTGGCTCATCTCCATCTGTGAGGCCACTCCCCCACCCCCTCCCATGTGGCCTATCCTCCTGACGACCAGTAGTTCAAATTTGTCCTCTGTAGAGGACATTTATGAACCTAAATATCTCCCACCCAGTACATCCAATCGCATTAACTCCTTTTGTGCTCTAAAGAGGACATTCCGTGCTTTCCAATGATACCAAATTTGTAGGGGGTGGGGCTTTGTTACTTTGACTTCTCAATAGAAGAAAATTGCTTCCCTCAGTGCAAGCACTTTTTATGGGAAGAGGAAAAGTAATACTTTTTATCAAACACATTTTGTCTTGAAATGCTGTTTGAGTTGTTTTAAGTGTATTTGAGCCGAGTATTCAAGTGTTTAAAAAATGCCCTCTGAAGTGGAATTTCAAAAATGTCTTTTGGAGTCGTCGAATTACTTCACATAGATTGGGGAATTTCAAAATAAATGTGATTGGACAACATTTTTTTGTCCTGGTAGTCCGGAGGCTATGACACGAGGCGGCTGCAGGTGTTTTTGTTGCAGGCGCACCAGAGGATGTGTCGGCATGAGCTTCATGGTGCAGCATTTGCAGTTCACATGAATGCTGATTTGTGGCTGAGTGGGCACGGCCTTCACTTCCTGTTGCAATGACATCAACATGCACATTCGAAGACATGTCCTCCCGAGTCACAGCACCGTACTGTCTTGTCGCCTGAAATTCGTCTTGGCCCCATCTGCTTCTCCTTCTTCTTGCGAATAAATATTGGCATATAAGCCATTGAGGAGGCTTCTTCTGGTACACAGGATGCCCCATGACACTGCGTCAAACAGCATTGTCCTTCAAAAACCATGATGACCAAAAACTATTTGAAATGTGGACTCCTCAGCGCACAGCCCACTAGGGTGGAAAAAGTATTTTAATTTTATTTATGTTTTGCAACATGTCATCCAAACTTTAGAATTGGGGTTTGGAAATGTAGTTAAGCCATTCCTCTCTCAGAAGTGAGTGTGATGAGTCCAGGAGCAGGAAATGTTCTTGTCACGAGAATGTGGCGTGTGTGTCACTGTGGGTGTCACAGCACAGTAGTAAACAGTTTATTGTAAACTGCAGAATGCTCAAGCGACACATCCTCGATGTGCAGGTGCACTCGCTCCCTGTCACTTGTCATGCTGACCGACATTCTGGTGCTGCCGTTTAATGGTTTGCCATTTCCAAAGTGGGAAAGGAAGTGTGGCGCTTGTCCAGGAACTTGTTTGTACCAGAATATATAATGACGACTCATTGACTTTTTGGCATAAACGTATGACAGTGTCGACTGCCTTTTGATGCCAGCATTTCAGTTGTGCCTGCCACCAGCTCGCTGCTGGTGCCTGAAGGATGAGACAAAAGCAAGTTCAGAATTTGGTTGAGTGACTCTTTGCCTCGCCAAGCAACATTCACCGGCCACCGTTGTGATAATCAGCAACCAAACTGACAGCAACATGTTTAAGAAATTTCTGTCAACTCTGCTTCTCCTTCTGAACTCAAGCTCTGAACTCACAATGTCATCACGTGACTGAAGCTCCTCCCTGATCACGTGAAGCCACGGCCCAGGTTCTGCCTTTTACTTTTACACTGGTACCTCTACTTACGAACATCTATTTGTACGAAGTTTTGAAGTAACGAAACGCCTCAACAGGAAAATAATGCCTCTTGTTGCGAAAGAAAGGGTAGAAATACAGTATGGGCCGCTGTTCGCAGCTCTGAGTTTCGTGAACGCAACATACTCAGAACTGGTCTGCCATTGGCTATTACCGAGGATCATTCTGGCATCCCATTGGCTAAAAAGGACCTCTGTCGTGGCTCCAGTGCGAGTGGTGCATGTTGATGATGTTGACCTTCCCAGCCTCACCTGTTGCGTCCGTTCCATCAGGAAGCTGAGGATACACTGGTAGATCGGAGGGGACACACTAAGCTGGAGAAGTTTGGAGGGGAGGAGTTGCGGGATGATGGTGTTGACTGAAGATCTAAAGGTCCCTGGTTCAATCCTGTGCTTCGGCATGTGAGGCACAGAAATGTTTTCTTTGTTGTGATTACTGTACTACGATGTGTCCCGTGACTCGCTGTTGTGATTATGGCCGATAAGATCCCATTAATTGACTGGGGAAAAGGCCTGAGTTAACTCCACAAGAGGCAGAAATAGCTCAGTTGGGACTGCGTTAGACTGAAGATCTAAAAGTCCCTGGTTCAATCCTGGGTTTCATCATCTAAGGCATGGAAGTAATTTCTTTGTTGTGATTCTTATACTACTACGTGTCATGAGACTCACCGTTGTGATTTCGGCTGATAAGATCCCATTACCTGACTGGTGAAAAGGCCTGAGGAACCACCACAAGAGGCCGAAATAGCTCAGTTGGGAGAGCATTAGACTGAAGGTCTCTGGTTCAAACCCGGGTTTCGGTATGTGAGGCACAGAAATGTTTTCTTTCATGCAATTACTGGACTTCAATCTGTCCTTTGACACACTTTTGTGATTTTGGCCGATAAGATCCCATTAATTGACTGGTTAAGAGGGCCTAGTTAAAGCTATAAGGAGGAGGAATAGGAATTCATTCTTTAAGATCCCATTGATTGACTGGTGAAAAGGTAGCTCGTTAGGTGGCGCCACAAGAGGCTGATGTAGCTTATTTGGTTGAGCGTTAGACTGAAGATCTAAAGGTCCCTGGTTCAATCCTGTGTTTCGGCATGTAAGGCACAGAAACGTTTTCTTTGTTGTGATTACTGTCCCACAATGTGTCCTGTGACTCTCTGTTCTGATTTTGGCCGATCAGATCCCATTAATTGAATGGTGAATAGGCCCTAGATAACTCCACAACAGGCCAAAATAGCTCAGTTGGGAGAGCGTTAGACTGAAGATCTAAAGGTCCCTGGTTCAACCCCGGGTTTTGGCATGTAAGGAGCAGAATTTTTTTTCTTTAAAGCAATTACTGGACAACGATGTGTCCTTTGACTCACTGTTGTGATTTTGGCCGATAAGATCCCATTAATTGACAGGTGAAGAGGGCTTTGCTAACTCCACAAGAGGCTGAAATAGCTCAGTTGGGAGAGCGTTAGACTGAAGATCTAAAGGTCCCTCGTTCAACCCTGGGTTTTGGCATCTAAGGCACGGAAATGATTTCTTTGTTGTGATTATTTTACTTCAATGTGTCCTGTGACTCGCTGTGGTGATTTTGGCTGATAAGATCCCATTAATTGATTGGTTAAGACCAAGTTAGTTAAGTCCACAAGCGGCCGAAATAGCTCAATTAGGAGAATGTTTGACTGAATCTCTGAAAGTTGCTGGTTCAATCTCAGGTTTCGGCAAGTGAGGCACAGAATTCTATTCTTTGTTGCAATTACTGTATGACAATGAGTCGTTTGACTCACTCGTCTTCTTTTGGCCCAAGAATATCCCATTAATTGACTGGGGAAAAGAGCTTAGTTAACTCCACAAGAGGCCGAAATAGCTCAGTTGGGAGAGCGTTAGACTGAAGATCTGAAGGCCCGATTCAAACCCGGGTTTCGGCATGTGAGGCACAGGAATTGTTTCTTTGTTGAGATTACTCTACTCCGAGGTGTCCTGTGACTCGCTGTCGTGTTTTTGGCCGATAAGATCCCATTAATTGACTGGTGAAAAGGTCTTAGTTAACTACACAAGAGGCCGAAATAGCTCAGTTGGGACAGCGCTGGACTGAAGGTCCCTCGTCCAATCCTGGGTTTCGGCATGTGAGGCACAGGAAACTATGCATAGATTTAGTTAAATTACACTGAGCTAATTTGGTTTTATGATTGGTGAAATTACACGTATATACACACACACACCGGGGAGTCACCAGGGCTGTGGCTCACTTCCAGCCGAGCTATGGCGACAACATCTACGCTTGCAAAGAAGCAGCAAGGAAAATGATCAGCAGTGCCAGAGAGGTGATCGCCATAGTTACGTATTCCTTGACCTTGCATTGTAAAATGGTCATCTCGATAGGAATATCCACAGTAGAAGGTAAGCGCAAAAGTCCGGTACGCGATGGGTACAGTATTTTAGTTAGTGGAAACATCAAACGGTCGGTGGAAGAAGTTTCAAGACACCAACCTCATTTCGGATGTGTTTCTGTCGACCTGCTAGAATATCGATGGCTTGCGTGTCCCCATTTCCTGTTATATGGCCATACTAACATATGGACAACTGCACTGATCTTCTTTTTCTGGTATTTTTGTTCACCTTTAGCACATGAGAAAGGGAATGTATTTTTGAATGGTAGTCTACACTTTGCTCACTGATCTGGGCCAGGGGTGTCAGACTCATTTTTGTTGCGGGCTGCTTTGGGGTTACATCTTCCCTTCGATGGCCCGGTACAACCGTGAAACTGAATACATGTTTATATATTATTACTTGTACACAACTAATTGATGGAATACCAGTTTTGAAGCCAGTCAACTATGATAGTTTGTTCAATTGTTGTTTGAGTGAGTTTTAATAGGGTAACAAAATTATCACAAAAATCTCAACATTATTTATTATACATAACAATTTGACATTTTGGTGCAAATTTTAGCAAGGATCATGGAAGTTGACACACATGATTTGCTTTCGTGGGCCACATAAAATGATGTGGCGGGCCGGATCTGGCCCCCGGGCCTTGACTTTGACACATGTGATCTCGACGATCTTGTGTTAAAAATAAAAAAAAGCACGAAATGTTTTATTCATTTTTGCTTTGGAGGTCGAAGTGTTTTCTGTCTTGTGCTCCTGAATTAATGTTGCTGAACTGAATTTGAATGCATTATTGTGTATTGCTTTATTTAATTTTAGTTTTCCGAACGGTGGAATAGTTCAAAAAATGAGACAAGGATTTATTTATTTATTTTACTTAATTTTTGTTTGGTGTTGTGTCAATGTGTTGAGGTTCTTTTCCGTTGCAGTAAAAAAAAAAACACTGGTAATATAATTATTCTTCGCGATGAGTTGGACTGTATTTCTTTCTTTTGTTCTTTAATATTAGTGAGGTTTCGATGTAACGCGGAAGTGTACTCCTACAATTTTATAGGCAAATGGCGATTATCGCGGCAATCATGACATTGTGTGGATGTTGCCGTGTTTCCTGTATGGCGGCTCCGCTTATCCAATTTATCACTACGGCTGGTGCGCCCAACGATATCTCAAGTGAATGGAATGTACCCTCTGCTGTTACTTTTGGATGGCAGTGATTCCGATGTAGAAAACGGCTCAGCTAATGGAGACTTGATTTCACTTCGACATCAAAATGTTGAAGATGATTTTTAACCATTTTTTCCGATATTCTTTTTCTGAGTAATTTTTTAATCTGATGATAACCTCCTTCTTTCCAGCCCCTGAGTATCACAATGATTACACATCCAACATGATTCCATGGAATAAAATCTGACATGAAGGTTCGATGTGACGATATGAGCAAATGTAGGATAAACAAGGGAAATGTTAGGTTGATTGTTTTAAAGTTATCATACATTTGCATGTTATTAGTGATGCATTGATTATGCTTGCAATGAAGAATGCTTATGCCTGCAACTATTAATTGAGTCTGCTGCAATGAAGAACACTTTTAATAGAGATAATTATGCAAAAAAAGAAAAAGATATGCTCACATTTATAGTAAGGAATGCTCAGTACACTGTGTGACGGTTGGTTGAGACACAACTACATCAACACCAGCTGCAACTTGGAGTGTTTATTGGAGTAATTATTGCACACAAATCCACCTTGGGCTCAGCGATCCCACCACCTGACAATGACCAAAAAAAACACGTCTACTGATACAGCACCAGCTGCCACCTGTTGATGACATCATTCTACAGAGGTTGATTTCACAGTATATGGGCAAAATAGCCCTGGTGAAAATCAACCTGGGTCCAGGTAGTGTACCCTAAAGTCCTGAAGAAAACGACTGCGCTATAGTTCAACTCATCACTGACGAGCACAAGACCCCCCTCCCCCAATTCCCCGCCCCCTCTCACCACACCATGGCATACCCGCTCAGACTTACAACACTTTCGAGGATTCCTTCATGATTCCGCCCCGGCGGACATCTGACACACCATGGACAGGGACATCCCTTAATAATCAACATTTGGTCATTGTTGCGTGCTTTTGTTTCTTGTTCTATTAATAAGATGATAACGTCCAATCTTTTCACACAACCCTTGCTTGATGTTGCGCCAGCCGCCTGCGACGATGATGCCGCTGATATCTTCATTTAAATCATTTCAGGTGTCGGAATCTTTCGAGTCCGAGAGGGGGAATGAAGTATGTATTCTGTCCATGTTTAGTCATTCTGGATAACTTTCCCGTGCCTGCAGTGTGGCTTGGCGTTCTTGAAGCAATCTGTTAGGGTTTGGGTGTGACCCCAAGAGCACGACAACAGGCAGGTATTGTTGAAGCCAACACTTGGCGTAGTTTATTCGAAGAGTCTTCGCAAAGTCATTCAGGGGGAAGCACGAGGAGTCCACAAGGAATTGTCCACACAAGGAACAAGCAGCTGTAGGAAATGGCAACAAAGTCCACTGGCGTGATGACGGCACGAACTTGCACTGA